CCCCCCCCCCTTTATTTTTTTCCATTTTACAATTAAAGTAGTTTTCAATTATATATTTACATAATAATCATACCATTTCTCCAAAAGCCAAGCATGCTTCCCAAGGCTATGACATTTATAGTACAGTTAACCCCCCTCCTCTTTTTTCATTTGAAAATTAAAGCATACCTCAAACACCCAGGACCCAGTCTCAGGTCTATACTCAATAAACTTGGCACCTATTTTTGCAGTCGATATCTCCAGCTTGCGCTCATAGTTCATGATCTTCAGTCTGTCAGGACTCTAGAGAAAAAAGACAACGGAGTCATTAAATTTTTGTACAGGCAAATATGCTTAGTTCAAATAGCCATTTGAAAAAGTATCCTTTTTCTTATTTTGCAATCTAGCAAACTGATTTTCACAAACTCTTAAAAGGCAAAAACAAATCTTCATCTATCTTTTTCATAAAGACACCTAAGAATCAATCAAGTTTTATTCAGGTATTTCTTCCAGACATTTCTTACTATATGTATTAGAAATAGCAGAGATATCAGTATCAGTTACCTTCACTGGAGAGTGGTCACTCTTGTCCACTGGCCACACACAGTCCAGTGTGACTTCAGCCTTCTTATTCAGCCCCTCTCCTACAGGGGGCTTGTCATCGTCATCTGGATACACCGTCACCTCTTTACGGCGGAAAAATACTGAAAACAGAGAAGCAATAGGAGTATAGAAAAAGTTTTACATAGGGCGTGACCATTCAGAGCATAGCATTATTATACTGCTACATAGATTTTGATATCAACTTTTTGGGAAAAAAAAAAACAACACAAACATGTGCAGATTACCATATTTGGGAATAAACTAAATTATTTTGAAAGTTTTAACAGTTTTTTATGCCTGTGCGAGTATCCTGTTCATCTATTTCAAACTATTGTCTTAATTATTTAGGACATCTTAAAGAAGAATTTATCCACTACTACACAGCACAAATTTTTACAAAATTTCAAACAACCTTCATTCAAAAAACCACCACTCATGGACCACTCACCTATCTCATCCAGGTTCATATTGGCAACATCAGTTTCCCCTGGGAAGAAAACACTACCGTATCCCTCCCTGCCTATGGTGAAGTCTTCCACCACACATCTACCCTCCCCGTCCACCATAGTGGCCAGTTCCTCTAGGGAAGGCACTGTGTAGTAGCCAGAGCGGTGGAGCATGATCCCTGCTGGGTGGGGAGGGGGCTCAGAGTCATCCTGGGAATTAAATTGAGAGACGGATCACACAACTGACTCTTATTGTAAAAACTGAACATGTGAAAATTTATTTCAAGAGCTACATAATTCTGACTGTGGTACAAGTCATGAAGTTTTTGTAGATAAAAGACATCATAAACAGAACATTAAGCATTCGCAGCAAAAGTAACTATCACATGAAGATGTTGTTTTTGATGACAGTTTTCTTTTTTTCCTTATTCTTTTACTTATTATTCATTTATGAATTCATCATCAAAATTATTTTAATTTTGGAGAGGGGTATCTTTGAAAATAAAGGAAAAAAAAATGAAGTGCAGGGCATGCTAACTGGAGGAGAAAGCAGGAATCGCTCACCTCACTGTCCTCCTCCTCCTCGCTCTCTCCGCCTGATTCCACATCTCTCTTCATGGCTTCAGCACTTTTGGCTGTATTCTTAGCATTCAGTGCCGCAATGGAGTCATCCAGGCTTGGACGAGGTCCTGGGGTGTCACCATTAACGTTCTTCCTCTGCTGGGTTATTGGCTGGCTATTTTTAATGACAGAGGGTGTTGGGGTTTGCTCGTCCTGAAGGCTAGAAAAACAAAATATTGCTATTCAAATTGCCATTCAAGTTCTTAAGAAAACCACTGGAAAATTGGCAAAAATAATTAAACAGTGCTCATTTTCTTCAAATCATTTAAAGCATTTAGAATAGTTTCAAATACTCGCAGCAAATCTTGCCAAAATAAATAAATAAATAAATAAATAAATTAATTAATTAAGAATCAATAATAAATCAAAAAATCTTAAAATGATCAAAACCATAACTGATACTCAATACGCACCTTAGCCCATTCCTCGCACCCCCCAGTCTGAATGGAGACGTCTGCTCCAGGTCCCCCTCTATCTGAGAGGAAGAACGACTCGGTGGACTTGATCCATTCCTGTTGTTCTTGATGACCAGCTTCTTCACGCTGCGCCTGGGTACAAATGTGTCATTGCCAAACGTGCAATCTTCCTCCTCCAGTCCATCAAACAGCTGAGCCTGAAATAATAATAATAATAATAATAATAATAATAATAATAATAATAATAATAATAATACATACATACATACATACATACATAGTTCTTTGTCCAACTGAAATGAGTACTGGGTATTAAGCTCTGATATTAAATTTCTTTAAGGCCTGCTAAATCAAAGCCATTATCAAGTTTGAGTTACCAACAAAAATCTCTGAATTCAAATAATTTTCATGCTTTTTTTAATGCATCGTTAAGCGCATTAAAATGTATTGCAGTTGGTCTTCCTCTGGAGATTCCACATATATTATATAAAATCTTTCTGTCCTCCCAAGTCAAGAGCAATTGAACTCTACCAGCTAGACCTACGGGTATAATATTTTTTTAATGCATTCTATATCTATTGTTGGACTTTAAAGAGTCCATTTCAACCACTTCTCTTTCTGGAGAAAGCAACACAATACAGTGTGATCACAGTAATAAATCTAGAAGGTAAAAACTATATTTCCAACTGAATAACTAAATGTTTTCATAAACCAAGCCCTACCTTTCCGTTGACCAAAGAATGCAGTGGTTTGGGTTTGATCTTTGCTGAAGGTCTGGAGCTAACTTTGTACTGTGAAGAGGTGTTCAGAGCTGCCTTCTGGGCCAGGGGGTTGGTCGGCTTCATATCTTCCCTCTTTGAAGGATCCTGTGGTTGAAAATTTCAAAGTATAAGCATTACTTTAAAGTTTATCTTGATGCAGAGCTCACTGTCAACATTTTTCATTTAAATCTAAAATTATGCATAGATATAAATAATACTTAATTACAGAAATGTTAAACAAAATTCACACTGAAAAAATTTTCTCACCACAAAATTCTTAATATTGTGCTCATTGTGGAGTAGCATATAGCAATTACTGAGAAAACACATCCAGGGATCCGGTACAGCACATTACTAGGTACAGATTTTGTTCATAATTACTTACCAGTTTCAGATTTCGGAAAAGTGGAGAATCTCCATACGGGGCACTTGCCAGTGCCATCAACTGCTGCTGTATCTGTGCCTGCTGAGCAGCCAGAATAGCTGCATCTGTATTACTATATGAGGAGAAAAGAACAGAGCTAATAATAAGTCCAAATGAAGTCGCAGTTTCATCAAATATTGAAAATGTAATGTTGAAAATACTTGGTTATTCACTTTGTTAAGGAAATGTTATTGTTGTAAAGAAACCCAGAATTATTTGCACACACTAATATTTTTTACTTTTTTTCATGGAGATTCATTTTCATGTATATGACATATTTGATGAAAAATTAACCTCACATCAATTGATACAAACAAATGAAACAATTCATCACTGATTTCTCATTTCAACAAGCACAAAGCAAAATTTCAAAATTCTCAGTGAAAATGTCCTATAAGTTAGCTTAATTACACATTTAACAGTGTTTGCCCTATAAATCCAGTTTAGATTATTATTACTGTATTATCATATACAGCATGAGCCTAATTACATACTCAACAGTGTTTGCCCCATAAATCCATAGATTCTGACAGCTGTAATTAAACACACCATATAACATTATTGTCTTCTTTCCCCCTGAAACCTTTACCTAAATCAAATGAATGGAAGACACACACCCACATACAAACACACAGGTGGACATACCTTCCCAGTGTGGCTCCAGCTGTGGACAGTGTTGTGGTAGCCCCCAGACCACCTGTCTGGCCAAAGCCTGAAAATATACACATAATCTAAGCAATGCTAGGCAATTACAAACCGCTTTCTAACTTCCTTTTGGAAAAACAACAAAATCACAGCTTAAGTTGTGCACTTCAATTTATTCCTATTCAAATAAAAACTGTCGTTCTCAAATCAATGGTACAATTTGATCGACATCCTTTAATTTGCCACTGAGACTTAGACCACATTTACAACTGCATACTAAGTAGTCCATAGATCAAATATGGCCTACCCACTTGAATGCTTGTGGCACAAACCCCCCCCCCCCCCCCCCCGTCCCGCGTGAAATTAAGAGATTTGACAGCAAGCATGTAAGTGAGTCACCACATTTGATCCTCAGACTAGTAAGTCCACTGTTGTGAATGCAGTCTTAAATTCATCTCTTCTTTCTGTCCATTACCTCCAAGGTTCAGACCCGTGCCAAAGGCTGGCTTGTTATCAGCGGCGTTAAAGTTAAAGCTGGTTCCAGTGGAAAGGCCTCCTAGCGCGTTCCCAAACCCAGTGGACGCGGCACCAAATCCAGCAGGCTTGTTGCCAAACAATGTGCTGCCCGTGTTGGCATCTGAATAGTAGGAAAAATGCATTTAACTGGTCTCAACCAATTCAGTTTTATGACCTGATGGCTGCCTTCAAGTGCTGTTGCTTGAAATAATCGTTCTAATATGTTCATAGCCTAGGACTACATGGTTATTACTTAAGTGTATTTTCACTTAACTCCAATATAAGACACAAGAAGCTTTCTAAATACGAGTTAGATTCTCCATAGAGAGATCGTGGTTAAAAAGAAGACTGTAAAGTACCCGCTAATAATTATCATGCAAATGGCAATGTGACATTTAAATAAAGTTCACAAATGAGAATAAGAAAGTACAAGTTATATAGATAATTAAGGTGTACATTGAAAACTCTCACTGAATCTCAAAACAAAATGTTAAGGTCACGGCTAAACAATTCAATCTCCAAGCCTACATAACTATACTCACTGAAGCCAGTGGACTGCCCAAAGCCGAACCCAGTGCTCGTGGTAGGCTTGGCAAAGAGACTGCTGTTGGTTTGCCCAAAGCCAAATGTTGTCCCCGTGTTTGTGGTGGCTGTGCTGGTTGTACCAAAACCTAGAGGTTTCTGGCCAAAAAGACCCTAAAATTTAAATTAAATCAATAATTCAGATGCATATTAAGGAAACTTAATGCATTAACAGACTTTGACTGAACTGCATTTCAACATCCACCCTCAGTGCCTAAGGGAGAATCTTTTTAAGGTAATTAAAGCCGCCCCCTCCCCCCCCCCCCCCATAAAATACAATATTACACTAGCATCTAATCATGATATGAAAGCAAAATTAGTTTGTTTTCACAATTACAGGTACTGATATGGATACATTTGGACATATATTTACTGCAAATAATTAATGTTATCAGGACCCAGGCAGAAATATCTAATCACTTACCCCCGTCTGTGTGCTGTTAAATCCTGTACTTGTGCCAAACCCGCCAGTGCCAAAACCAGTTGAAGCAGTGGATGTCTGGCCAAATATTCCACCAGCCTGAGAGGTGGTTGTGTTGCCAAACAGTGGCTAAAATGTTGGAAGAAAAAAAACTTTCTGTGAATATAGTGGATTATAGAAAGTATTTGGAGTCAGAATCTCAATGCTACAAGTTTGCAGGGGATAGATAGTTGCCCTTGGTTGTTTTCAGTTGTGCTTTAAAGATGTTTTTAAAAACATAACAGCTGTTATTGTTTACAAAGTGAGTCATATTTTTCTGATATTACCCTAAATATTTTTACCATTCAGTTAAAAAGAGAATCAGATATCCTCCCAGCTGGTCAATTAGAGAAAAAATCCATACTGATCAAAAACCTATCTATTTCTACAATTATAAAGTTCCACAATATACATTTTAAGTCAAAACATCTAAGGCCGCATTCACATCGAGTTGAGCCATGGCTCTACAAAGCCATGACCTAAATATGGCGGACTTGATGTGAATGCGGCCTTATTCACCAGATAGGCTGGAGTTGTGAACACTTAGCTTACCTTGCTCTGTTGCTGTCCAAACAGGGATGTCCCACCTCCTGTACTGGTGGTTCCAAATCCTGTCCCAAACCCTGTACTAGCTGCAGTGGTAGTAGCAGTTCCAAATGTAGGTTTGGTCTGGCCAAACAGGCTGCTGCCACCTGTGTTCTGCTGTTGACCAAATAAACCGGTAGAAGTGTTGCCAAATGCTAGGAAATCAGAAAATAAAAATTAGATAAATTACTGTATCTGTATCTGAATCTAACTCAAACATGTTTTTAATCACAAAAATATTCTGGGTTAACATCAAAATGTAACAAATTTGCAAATTGCCAATGAAAAAGATTTTGAGTTTGAGCTGAAAACAAAAATCACTAATGAAAAAAAAAAAATACTTGAAGCCAACTGATTAAAAGAAAATATACCACCAGAAGTCAAACAATCAAATAAAAAAATACATACACTTACCACTTCCAAATCCTCCAGTTGTCTGTTGTTGCTGTTGTTGTTGCTGTTGAGGCTGTCCAAACCCAAAAGCCGATGTCTGTCCAGTCTGTGTATTACCAAACAGACCCGTCCCAGCTGTCGCCCCCTGCTGGGGACCTTTACGATTGGCTGCGTAATCTTCCATGCGAAGTTCCTGCATTAAAGAAAATCAAGTTATTATTTTCTTTTGTACGTTCAGATGCCAAATTGTTTGAAACAGCTTCTTAATTAGTATTTGATATGGGAGATTTCTTTGAAATCTTATGTCTGAAACATAATTGATGTAGCATTATGTTTATTTATTGGGTTTCAGAATGGTTTATAACCATTCTGAAACCCAATAAATAAACACAATGCTTACATATATTACCCAAAACTATTTAAGCCTTGATAGACAAGAAATTGTTGATTGTCTTAAATGCAGCTTTCTCCTCACCTCTAAACTCTTACTCTCATACTCCTTCATGGCCGTGATGCACTGATGCTTTGTGTTGATAGTCTGTGAGACGCCATTTTTCAACATGTTATCACTGCCTGGCAGTGGGTTGAATTTCACTGTGGTGCCAGTTTGAGCAGTGCCAAACGCTGTGGCTGAAATAGAAACATATTATATGTGCTGTATCACAAGTCACCAATTATACTTTGGATGACACTGTTAAAACCTACACTTGCATCAGTACAAGTGCGTGGTTTATATGTATTCATATTGAAAATCCTACTAACCCTTAAGGGTGCAGCAAAGTTTGTTTTTTTTATCAATAATTCATCTATTTTTATAGATATCCATCACCAAGTGGGGCATGGAGAGGTAGTCTTAGATTAACATAAAGAATATATACATAACACCAATCATAGCAAGTAGGTCTGAGTAATCACCAGTGGCACAATTCCCTTGCATAGCTTCATGTCAAGTAATTGATCTGAACCTGCATCACTACCTAATTACAACCTACCTGCACCTCACCCGCATTATAACGTAATCAAAACCTACCTGCACCTCCCCCTCACATTATAACCTNTAATTAAAACCTTACTGCACCTCCCCCGCATTATAACCTAATTAAAACCTACCTGCATCTTCCCCCGCATTATAACCTAATCAAAACCTACCTGCACCTCCCCCTGCATTATAACCTAATCAAAACCTACCTCCACCCCCCCTGCATTATAACCTAATCAAAACCTACCGTCACCCCCTGCATTATAACCTAATCAAAACCTACCTGCACCTCCCCCTGCATTGCAACCTAATCAGAACCTACCTGCACCCCCTGCATTAAAACCTAATCAAAACCTACCTTCACCCCCTGCATTAAAACCTAATCAAAACCTACCTCCACCCCCACCAGCTCTGCATTATAACCAATCAAAACCTACCTGCACCTCCCCATGCATTATAACCTAATCAGAACCTACCTCCACCTCTTCCTTCATAATTACCTAATAAGAACCTACCTGCACCTTCCACCATATTATAACCTAATCAGAACCTACCTGCATTATCACCTAATCAAAACCTACCTGCACCTCCCCCCGCATTATAACCTAATCAAAACCTACCTGCACCTCCTCCAAAGAGACTGCTGCCCCCAGTGGTGCCTGTGGTACCAAATGGCAAGGTGCCTGTGGAGGTGTGGGTGGTGCTGCCAAACAGACTGGTGCCTGTGGAAGTGCCACCAAAACTGGTATCTAAAATGGACAGTTTGACCTTGCATACTGTGTTCATCACAAGTGTGTGGTTATGGCAGTACTTATCTAGTATTTGATACCAAATGGTTGAAACATATGCCAACAAACCAAGCCAAACTTTAGATATAGATAGAGCCCATATTTGTTTGAAGTTTACTCCATTTGCTCACAAACATTTACTACCCACAAAATGAAAAAAAAAAAAAAAAACTGACACTTGGTTGCAATCACATTAACCAGTCTGAGAGAAAAAATATCCTTCAAAAAAAAGAACAGATTTTACTTTAATAAAACAAAAACTTTAGTCCAACTTGTCATTTCTGAACGACAGCAACAACAACAACAACTTTTATAAGATGACAGGACAAATTGTGAGAGGGTGATCAACTTACTTCCCACTCCAAACCCCGGTGTCTTGGCTCCAAAGGCTGAGCTGGTTGATGGTGTGGCAAACAACCCTCCTCCACCAGTGCTAGAACTGGCAAACAAACTGGTGGTCTGTGTTGTAGGCTGACTGCCAAATGCTGGAAAAACAAAATAAGAGACATGCAGTTGTAACTCACTCACTTTTTCCTCCCTTCAAAGAAAATTTTAGAACTGAGGTCATGATCTGCAACAGCTATATACTGCATTAATACATTACACAATCAATACCATTATGAAGACACTAAATATATAAGTCATATTACAAATCATCTTTGTTTAAAGAAATTCGACATCAGTTATTATTAAAAAAATTTTTATTAAAATTCTTTAAAAAAAAAAAAGAAATACTTTCAGATGTTACAAGTAATCCAATTTCCTGAATCTAGCAGGTCCATCTGTAAATGCATCACTGATATCCCTACATGATCAAACAGGAAAAAGTATACCTACAAAACCCACCAGATCCTCCTGCAGAGGAGAAAGATGTTCCTCCAAACAGGCCCCCAGTTTGCTGTGTGTTGGCATTGCCCCCAAATAGCCCCCCTGAGGCTGGAGTCTGACTGCCAAAGGCTGGTGTCCCAAATGTGGTAGCAGTACCTGTGGGTTTTGCACCAAAAGTACTAGTAGTACCTTTAGACAGCGCAATTTGATAGGAAAACATAATATCAGGGTTCATAAACTTGTGACATATTTGTACATATTACTTTGATATCTAAACTATATGTAAGTTAACGTGAAAAATAATTTTATTTATTTATTTTGTATCTGAATTATAAAGTTTCAAATTTTATTTTAAAATATGATATTTTACATTTAATTAATATCAACATGTTACATTATTCTAGTTGTAGTAAACAATCACTCACCTCCCCCAAATGGTGTTGAGGCCCCAAATGATGCTGGAAATTCAAGTAAAAAGCAAAACATTATTTGTCAGATTCTGAGTAAATAGAAATAAATACATGGCACTGTAAAGACAGAAAATTTGCTGTATACCAGCTTACTCTTATCAAAAAAAAAATAATAAACATAAATATATGCCTTATAAAAGTAAATGAGGCATAGCAAATACATTTATTCTACTTTAAATACATGAAAATTAAAAAGTTACTCACTTCCAGTGCCACCACCAAAACCAAATGGTTTGTTTGCACCAAACATGGTTTATGGTGACAGATTTCACTTTTTTTGTACTAGCAGATTTTTCACGTCAGTTTCTTCCACTTTGTCTTTATTTCTACGTCCTGGAATAAATGACCTGTAAAAAAGTACACATTTAAATTTTATTACAGCTGTATATAGTACATAAGTGGGGGAATTACTGCGAACATACAGAGAACAAAATAAAATTTTCATCTTCCACAAATAAAATGTCAATAAAATTTAGAATCTGGAAGTAGAACGTACCTTTACAACGTGTTTTTTTATCACTCGTTATCTATCCGATAGTAGTGCCTAAAGATTTGGCATCAGATAAGTGTCAAGTTAAATGCAATATGTTCCAATGCACCACAGTATCAAAAATGAAACAAAGATTAACTTAGATATTTTAAAAAATTGGCACACTACTGGTCACATGCGCGGGAAGTAGACAAAAGTGAAATAAGCCACTTTTACCATAAGACACGGTCCTACAGAAAAGACACTTTACCTTATTGCTTTTCTACGNCCCCCCCAGAGTGGGAGCATTCAGAAGGCATCAGCATATATAATAATATGTTGTTTTCTTTGTTAATGGCACAGAGATGTCAATATGAATACTTTGCTATTAAGGGTTGGTTAACTTCATAAGATAACTACTCAACTGAATGATCATTCAATCAATCAATATCGATCATTTCAACTTTTAATGACTTGATAACCAATTAATGCATTATTTCATCTACCACTTTTTACTGACTAGATACTCATTCTTTTATACAAAATATCTTCACCTTAAGCCAAAATAAGCTTATTTACAATGAGATTGAATATTCTTCATCTTTTTTAATAAGTCAAACTATATAAACAGTCTCAGACCGTTTATTTTGCATGCTCAAATATGGATGTGTAGACATTCTTTCTTCTTTTTAACAGTCCTTTATTTACCCTTCTACAATGCCATATATATTATATATATTAAAAACAAAATGGATAAAACCTCAATAAGTAACAAAATGGCCCAAAGACCCAAGTTGTGCGAATAAATTCTCTCTTCCACTTTCCCTGTAAAGCCTAAGTATTTAATAACCCAAGTCCACTTTTACCCATTAAAATACATCCACCTCTTTAAATAATATTTAAAACCTATTTTTAAATCTACAGGGGGCTCTGACAGAAAAACCTATACTGATACTATAATTTTGTTATCACCTGCGATTTACGGTCATATTCATATATATATGTATGCAAATAACCATTACTTATATTTACAAATTTAAGGCAACTTTAAGCAAACCACACTATTAAAATAAATAAATTTCTATAAGGTGATTTTAAAACAGATATAAGTATCTCACTAATATTAAAATAAATATTTTAAATATTTTTTGTGACCTTTCCACGATTCGTATTGCCATGATAATATATTTAGAAACACTATGTACAAATAATATACAATGTAAAGTACTGACAAAAATAAATAAATAAATAAATAAATAAATAAATAATACATTTCTTGGCCATGAAGATGTCTAGGATATCACAGTATTTTACTTCACTTCTAACAAAAACACCTCAACTTCTTTTGGCTTCAAATCTATTTAATCCTTTGCAACTCCCTATCTCATAAATAAATAAGCCATGCTATACTGCACTTGATAGCAATGAGCTGTCAGCTATAGTGCTAAAATGGCAGAAGTACTTAGTGCCTTATAATGATATTAACACCACAATGAAAAACTTCGATGGAGAAGGAAGAGGTATTTTTCATGATGTTTTTCTTATTTGCAAATATACGTAATAACTGAATGACAATTTCAAATTCAGGCGAAATTAATTCATCAAAATACTGTAGGTTTATCATGCTTAATAAATACCTAATTTATTGGTGGGATTAATTCTCCATCATAAAATACTTCCTCTTTAATTCAATAGATGGCACCACATTACACTTCTTCAGATGGTGCTGTGTAATAGCCCAATAGATAGATGGCAGCAGCTATCTATCAAGGAGGAGTCACTTTAGGAGTTGGTAGTGTTGTTTTTGTGGTCAATATATTTTCAGCTAGAGTGGTAACCATATGTATAACTCTGTTGAGTTCTTGTGTGGCATTTGGTGGACCGTGTTGAGAAGTAGTATAGTGTCTACCAGTGTGGGTAGCATGAAGACGTTTTAGGGCATCCCAGGTGCCAACAATTGTCCTAAATAAATAAATAAAAACAAAAAATAACTTTCTCACAATCACATATAATATCAACAATAAAACCCACAGTGGAAACTATTCAGTAATGAGTATAACTTATTATGTCTGAATTTTAGAAATTTTAAAGTTAAAATGCTTATAAACATTGTTCCATTACCCATCATCCTGATGAAAAAAAAAAAACTAGCACCATGATGTGAAATGAACACATTCAAGTAATACACCAAAATGCTGTAGATATGTGAACTTACCCTACTATTCCAAGCACTATTAAAAATATGTCAACAAATTTTTGCCATCTGGTAATAGACCTGAAAATAACAAAGACAAGTTGTAAAAAGACATTTTAAATAAGTTGACAGGTATTACCTCAATTAAATCCATTTTATATCAAAGAGCACAAATAAAAAGAATTCTTCAAAAATCTAAAAAATTAATTGGTAATATCTTGTAATGCAAATGAGAACAAACATTTATTCTCACACAAGCATTTTGGTGACTTTAATACCAGCACTCAAGTGTAATGCAAACACTATCTTTACGAATACTACTAAGAAACATTTTGGAATCCATTTATATTTACCCCTTAAAAATCTGTAAATGAAACAATCCTGGTAATATAAAAGCCAAAAGTGTACAGCAAGATGCCCCCACCAGAGCCATGAGGTTGGCAAAATTGGGTATAGCAAGGACTATCAGGCCAGTCAATGTGACAACAAATAACCTTAATAAATTCTGAAAAAAAAATGCATATTATAAGATTCATTTTGGTACGATTGAGAAGGCAAAATGGATTGATTTTGGACACCATAAAAAGCTTGAAAAATGTTATTACATTATGTAATTGTTATGACTTGCGCAAATGAATTTATAAGATCTATTGACTCATTTCTTTTATGGCAAAAGACAATTTAAAAGTATTCTATCTTAATTTGAATTCCTTCATCAAATTCCAGACAATACAATACAGACAAATAAAATGACAAATCTTGATATTAGTGCAGACTTACTCCCTGCCATAACTTCTCCTTTGCCTTTGGTAAAAATCTCTTTTCCAGTATGTTCATCACAGGGAACATCATGACTGGAAATATGATACACAACAAAGAAACTTCATCATCTCATTGTTTAATCTCTCTCTCTCTCTCTCTCTCTCTCTCTCTGGACACGCACGCATGTGTGTCTGCACACACACACACACACACACACACACACACACACATTCTAATCAACTGCACAATGATGTAGATTAAAGGTTAGAGAGAGAACTTTGATCACACACTGAGCATGTCATTAGAAGAAATGTATCCAAATTTTAAATATTCATTCTAAGCCACATAACTTGTAAGAATGAATTAACTTGCAAAATATAAACTGTTAGTCAATAATTTGTTATCACAACATCAATATAATTTAAAACATCATTAACATGCAGCAACGTCAACATAAACATGCAGCAACACCTAACTGGAATGCTAAGATAACTTTGTAACACCAAATGCATATTTTTGCAACAACAAGACTTCCCGTCTACTTACACTACGCAACTTTACATTCATGGCATTTCTATACAACTAAACTAACCCATGGTGAGAATTCACAGCTAAAGAACTGGGTAGAAAGAGTATGCTTTAAGATAACATAAAGAGATGATTTGTGTAGGAAAAGAAAGCAAGAAAATTTACAACCATTCTGATACTCAAATGACACAAAAAGAGGTTCAAACTAAGAGCAGCACTGCAATTCAGACAGCAAAGGGAAAATCTCCATCATTTCAATTTACCATAAAAATGTTCACAATTAAATCATAACATTTTGATTCTTATCCTCAATTTACAGAAAAGGAAAAGGGCATGCAATTTATCCACCACACAAATTGTAGCAAGAATCAAGATGCAAAACACCTGCAATCAAAAATAAAAGGAAAGGGCAAATTGTACAGAAAGATTAGCTTTGTGATTCCAAACATGGTATGCATTTGGTAAGCAAAGAATACAATCCCAGAAATGGTTTATCCCAGAAGTGGCTTAACCTTGTCAAATTAATATAAATATATATTTCTTCAAAAACTAATGTACCTGCTATGTCAGCACAATGAATTTACTTACCTGGATATGTGAAAAACAGGGCCAAACACAAGCAGGATTTGACCACTATGGCAAAGTCCAAGGATTGTCCTAAAACAAAAGGTTATGTTTTTATCTGTAACAGTAACAGGAATTCATGGAAACTATACCACAGTTACTAAGAGAGCAATTAAAAAAAATCTAGTTACTTTGTACTTCAGAATGGCCAAAAATCTAAATCTTTAACAGGGACTTAAATACACCATATGTCTTACTTTTTTTACATTTGAAGACACCCTGCTAATAAACACATATAAAGATTATTACCTTTAGGTAAATTCATTGTTATTATGTCACTTGTTTCTGGACCAAATGACTAGAAATAAACAAAAAAATGTTAAACTTTCCTTATTTCATCATTAATATATAATGTAATAAGATGTGTATAGTTCAGTAACACCCAATATAAGTTTATTTGTTAATTAATGAAAATGTATCCAAGTATTATAAATGTATCTTATCAAATGTCTGTATGGAAATGTTTCATGTATTAATTATTAAGTCCAATTGACATAATACCAAGTCCACTATCTCAATGTCCACTTAAATTATTAACTTATATGGGTTATTCTAAATCATTAGCACCAAGCATGCAAACAAAATTCATCTATCTCGTGACTGATTTCAGTAGCATTCAAAATAACCTGCATCAAGTAACTTAAATATGTCATTTAATATATGTTTGTATTCCAAAAGCAATCTGTTTCTTGTTATAATTGCTTTTATTAATAAGTGACCTAAAGGAAATGGGGAGTGACAGATGATGGAGTTAGTTTGGCAAATCTAACAATTTTCTCGCAGCTTCAAGGGAGAGGTCGACAGGCCAAGGCCAAAGCATAAGTCTGTATTTTCCAAAACTTAAGGTGTGGGAGAGGGGCGTTGGAAAGAGGCAGTGTAGAGATTGCAGTGAGTGCCAAATCCCAAATTTAAGCCTAAAAACAGCGGGGGGCCAATCCAAGACCCCCCCCTGATGACTCACCAGGTAACCTGCTCCACCAAAAGTGATGTAAAGAGCAGTCACTAGCACCATAGTCAACTTGAAGTAGCTGAAATAAAGGTATACATATTGTATGAACCTGGCAGTTTAAAATTCCCTGTTGAAAATGTTTATACACTGGATAATTATATGCGTAAAGCTAGCAGTTTTAAATTTGCCTGTTAGAAATGGATATACACTGCATAATCACATACATATTGCTGCTGGTAGCTATCCAAAGTGATCATCCACACAGTTATGAAATTCTACCTTTTAAGTACAATTAAATATACAGACTTAAGCCTGGATTAAAGTAAGAAAATCTCAGAACATTTATTGTGTGACAATACACCTTATAGGCTGGGGATCTAGGGCCACCTCGAATCCCAAAATAGAATTTAATTAAAAAGCACTGGAATTCCATGATTCCACAGAAAAAACTCATGTCTGAATATGGAATCATTCAGATTCTGACATCATTTCAGGTGGATCAATCCAATTTTGTGGGGATTCTCCTTAGGGCGCAAGCTTAGTTGACTGACAGGCCCCCTTGAGCAGCTAGGGGGCAATTAACTCTGTGTGCACTTGGCCTTATTACTCCTTAGCTGCTTGAAGAGGAGTGTCAGACAATAAAGCTGATTACATTGGCTGCACTTGAGCAAGAATCCAAACAGAGTTGGATCAATCCAGCTGGTGTGATATCTGAATCTACATGCTCCCTTTAATGTTTAAACAGGATAGCAAAATGAGACACGAGATATCTTGAATTTTTCAACCTCATATTGCAAGACGAGGGTGCAGTGTAGAAGAACATAAATAATTTAATTCAAATGATAATGCAGCTGTTTCTTGTGGTTACCACTTAAAGTTATGCCTGACTTGTTTATCGACAGATGTTTCCAGAGATAAAATCATTCCAGCACCCTGAAATTAAAAGAAAAAAATTAAAATACTAGTAAGTAACTACAAAGTGAATTACAAATAAATTAATGCATAATTAACGTAGGTAGTCAGTTTTACTTTACCTAGTAAGACAACTCACCAATTTAAAAAATATTCTGTCTTTCAATAAGCTTAATTAAAGAAATCTGATAACATATAACTGTGCACTTATACAATAGTTTATATCTTGTCACAAACTGACTGGCATCTATAATTTTTTAATAATTTAATACCTTAAATGCTTTGCAAGGTGAGTATTCTCTTTTATTTGTATTTCGATCTTGACCTATGCTTCATATTCCCCAAAAATACAATGTATTCTTTATGCCTACTGAACAAAAGTTAATAAATCCTAAAAGTTATAACGGCTCACTGCTAAATACAAGCCTGATAATTTGCCATTTCCAAATTCCTCTATATTCAAAGCTGCATCATCATGAACAATGAAGCCCTCAAACTAGGCTTACTACAAACTATAAAGATCAATACAAACTAGTTTCTGTATGTTTTCATACACAAAATCTTCTGAGGTTTTGACTTTGTATTAAAATCTTTCTTTGTTTAGCGATAGTTCAGCCTTTGTCTTATATAAAGTGCATGATATGTTTTCTGAATAATTCAACACCAACTAGCCTACATGTATTTCTATGCAATTTTCATGCCCAAAGTTGAGATCACGATAAAGGTGCCTCCATAAAGTAAAACATTTATCAAACGCCTGAAGATTGCCCTGACTGACCTACCTCGTAACAGTAAATAGCAATAGCCAGAAAAAAGGGGAAACCTTTTATAGATATTTTCTTCGGGTGTATTCTGAAAATAGACAAAGAAGAAATATAGGAAATTGGATCCATAACAGGTATAAAGCACGAAATGTAAAATGTTACTCATTTGTGATTAAAAATAGTAATCAAAAATACTGGTTTCTGCTACTCGATGTTTAGATATTAAGAATAGGGAGATTTAAGAAGCTATTCAAATTTCATAAGTGTCAAGTTTTAAATGAAAGATCTTTCATATAAACAGCTAATACTTAAACACATATGGTTATGTATAGAAATACTGCAATGGTGTGTAGAAGTCTCTTTTTATTTCATCTGGCAATATTATCAGTAAATTATGCACAACTTTTCCTGATCTTTTCCACTGCTTTATAGCAAACAGATGTTTATACCAATCTTAACAATAACCAACTACTACAGAGGCATTGGGGAACCCGCTCCATTTTTACCATATTTCATTATAGGGTTGAGTTTTGATTGCAGAATGGTTGTATTCAGTTGCATGACATGTTCACCCGTAGAAACACTAGTCACATCAAGCGTAAATCTTTAAAAACAACCACATACAAACTAGTCATCTTGCCAGATGTTCACTTACATTAAATTTTGCATTAGACCATAACACAGACGCTAAACCTAGACCATCTACCTTTGAAGGGAGTGGGAGAGGGGGATAAGCCAGGTGACAGCCTTTATTAATAATTATATAAATTTTATTTGCGACAATAGCATTTTCTTTAATTCAAAATGTCAATCCAAAGACTCAGTCTTAAAAGATATGTAGAGATATGTAGTCAATCTATAATCCAAGAATTAATATTGTCTCAAATTTGAGCACAATAACTTTGACGCTCCCACCACCAAATTTATTCCAACAAATTTTTAAGGAACAACTACACCGTCTTCCCATTCTACATCAGTGACTAAATAAAAGGCATCTTGCAGAATGAGAGAATTTCACAGTACCTCTAACAACAGAGTGATTGATAATTAAAGGTACTGTGCCATTCTTCACAAAGTTTCTAGGGTCCTTTAATTTCGTATCACCTTCCCCAGAAGTGTGTGACTTGAGACTGGAGTCAGCAAGTTTCTTGCAAAATGAACGCAATATTTTTCTCTCTTTTTCTATTCATTTTAGATAATGGTTATAATTTTCCTATTTCCTTTTAGTTGAACAGTAAAGCAGATTAACTGCTGCCTTTGTCAGTAGCAAGACAGAGCCCCCAAATGCAAATGAATACAATTTTTCTTAAACATTTTATAGTAATTTGTATAAATTGTGGGGAAAAATTCATTTGAGTGCCATTATTTTCATTATAAAACAGCCTTTCAAGCAATGAAATTAATCCAACTTACAAATAACTCTCTTTCCTGGCTATTAACAAGTATATTGATATCCAGAATATTTTGTTTGCTCAAGTCATTCACTTTCTTGGTGTACAACACATTCAGCTATCACAAGCCCTTGACAGTTTTTCAATTTAACCTACCCTCTATTTCCACCATGAAACAAATATCATTGTGCAAATTAAAAAAGTGATTGTTTTTATTCTTGAGGCATCAAATAAATAAAACTGCATAGTGTTTAAAGCTTGAAAGCACTTAATGAAAAGTGGTGCTCCTTAAAAGTGCAGCCAGGCATGTCTAGAGCATGTTCAAGTTGGACTGGAAATAGTCTTTATGACATCACTGGGCAACCAAATGGTTTGACATGAAGTAATGTCCCCAGGGTATTCCTGATGTGATATCATTGTCTAAGGACCATTTTCAGAGCAACTTAGATCTTGTCTGAACACACCTTGAAGCATCGAGCATAAACAGCATGTATCATCTTTGTTATTCTCTAATAAAGGTCTTAGGCAAAGAATCATATCTTTCTATTTTCAAATTCATAAAAATAATATCCCACTAGGCGTGTTCCAATTACTTATATTATAAATCATTCTCAAAATAATAAATGACGCCAATTTTTAAAAATACATCTAAACCCCTGGAAATCCTTTTAAATATTACTTAGAAGATAAAACAAGCAAATAAAACAAATTTAAATCATAATTATTCTTACAAAAGACATAATTTCTGAAGTGCTAAAATGACCATTTTATAATAAATGAATAAAAAAACCAAAAATGATACAAAAGGCTACTATTATATGATAAGAAATACTCACTCTACATTATGAAAGTGTTCAAAGTCAAACCAGAAAACCACAGTGAAGGCCATCAGGTTGGAGATTTGAGCAAACAAGCTGGAAAAAAAAAGATTATTTTTATTTAGGTAGACTACCACCATCTACCTTTTTTTTCTCCGACAAGGTGGTTATGTTTTGCTTGCCTTTAGTAGATTTGTTTGTGGGTTTGTTTCTCTGTGTGCAGATTTACACAAAAAGTAATGAACAGATTTTGAAATTTTTAGGATGGTCAGGAATGGGCCAAGGAAAATATGATTCATTTTTGGTGATGATTCATTAATTAGTTATTGGTTCATTATAAGTAAATAATTAATTGTCCTGGCGGAAGTTGCACTTTCTGAGTGATTCTCTAGTTTAAATATTAATGGTGAATAATCTTTTAAAAATTAATATTTTTGCAAATAATTCAATAAAAAGTTCAGACTATCATTATTAACTGCTACACACCAAATTCATCATCAGCTGTGTAGAAATGAAATTTTACACAAAGGCCAAATAAAATGACCTTGCTGGTAAAACGAAAAAGCAGTTAAAAAAAACTCTGAAATGCACCAAATAACACTAAAGCATTTAATTTCATATGTATATTTTTTGTTAAAAAAAACTGAAAATGAAAGACCTTTGATGTGTTCAAGCAAAATAGAATGCACTTAATTCCAGAAAAAAACTTAATCTCGACTAGTAAAAACCTTAAACTGAAATTCTGAGTAAATGCAACAAAATGGAGTACTCTACCTAGACAATGCCAGACTACTAAGGTGCCTGATTAAGGTAAGTAAGTACAGGGGCGGCAATAGGATAAACATCCAATGATGCCTGAAACAAGAGATAAAATAAAGATAAATATACCTCCCCATACATACATACATACATACACCCAATGACTCTGATATGTATATATGTGCATTTGACCTTCTAGTATTATACAAACAAATGAAACTGCATGGGTGTAATCAAAATACGGGCTGTGATTTATGATGAGACTACTGTTGAAAAGCAATGTTTACTTAAGATACTGCAAGTGTATTATTTGTTATTCATCCTGTCTAAAGGCATGGCAGATTTAAACAATATCACCCGTTTGAAAAATTTCTTCCAACCAATCAATTTAAAACAACATCTTTATCTCAGTTATGAAATATACTCACATTTTCATGCTGTGCATATAATCTGACAAGTTTTTAGATATAAATATGAGATACGCACAGCAAAAACCTGAAACAAACATAAACGAAAAACGTTACTTAGACTACAAATATTCTATAAAAACATCACATTCATGTTTAATTCTTACAACTACTCAACATTCTAATTTCTTTTAGGCAAAGAAAATGAGAAATATTTTCATTATCACCAATTTATAAAACATTGTATATATTCTAAGAAATACACACATTTTGTGTAAACAATTAAAAAATCCAAATATCAGACAAAGTTAAACGATCCCTTCATAATCCCTTAGTGCTTTAATCAGATTTGCACTTTCACTGAAACGCCTCCTTTCACAAATTTTCCTTCATCAGCAGAATTTGTAGCTTGAATATGTTCATTTCTTAAAGGAACAAATGTCAAAGGATACATGAAAAATTCAACCAAACCACCGTCTTTACAATTTACTGCCTTGCAATAAATCTATCAAAATTGAATATTCAAAGGAAGAATGTTCACTTACCAACTTGAGATATGAGAATGGCCAGATCCACAAGCCACTGGCCAAGTTTTCCCATTGCATAAAATCCTAGAAGCAGAATAGAAAAAGAAGTGCTACAAAATAGTTTATTACTCCAAAACAACTCAGTTTTATAAAGCTCCATTTTTGTACCAGTAATGCCAAAAGATTGGCAACTTCCTTTCCTTTAATATTTCCATAAAAAAGGAGGCCACTCACAGATTGTATCTATTTCAGTCACCATTTCTTATATGATTGACAACTTATTTTTATCTATCTTTTCAACATGAATTCTCTCTCGCAAATGAAATAAAGCGGTCGAGTTTTTCACTCAATAACAATGAAAAATTTATAGTTATAATATGCTGTCAGGCAGACTTGCTGTAAATGATGCATGGGAAACTATATGTTACAGTGTGAATTACTACGTATCTTATGTCTAATAGTATTAGGTCACACTTTAACACAGGAAAATTGATCTTTATTAGATATTGTCATGGCACTGATTTACCAAAGACTTCATTGCATACCATGTATGAAAATAACAAAGTGTGAACTATGTGTTACAGTGTGAATTATTATTCTATGTTAAATAGTATAAGGTCACACTTTAACACATGGAAAGTATGAAATTCTGTAGATGAAGATGGAAGTATATTTATAAATATTTCAAAAGAAAAAATACAACTGAGACAAGAATTTGCATCTTTCAAAGATTAATAAAATTCAAAATACATAGTTCACATATTAAAAAGAGGATTTTTAAGCCATCACCAATTGCAACTACTGTTAGTTGAAAAAATGATAAAATGTAATTCTCTATCTTTAACGTACCCACATCACCATAGTTCAACTCCTGGCCCGGTGCCTTAAAAACGAAAAATTAATCCAGTATTGAGTAAAAACTTTATTTAAATGAAAAATACTGATAAAACAGACACTCTCACCTCCAACAAAACTACCCTAAAATTGGAAGAAGTACACAGACACAAATTCTGTTATGTTTACAGCAAAACGTAACTTTTTTTCAATTGTCAAAACATATTCTTTGTAAAACAGAAGCTGCACATACAATCAAACATAGTACATTCCATACTGACTAATATATATGTGACCCGAACATTAAATAGCATCATTATTTTTTTTAATCAACTAAGCAATTGCACGGCCTCAAAATTTTTGAAGTTTTTAGACGTGAATTATCACAAACATTAAATTCCCTCATCATTTAATTTCCTCTAGTAATCCAAAAAGTGCAGAATTAATCATTTCATAAACTTTTTCTCTGTTAAAAAAAAGAAAACCAACCTTAGGAATGGACACCTCTTCCTTTGCTGCAGGGACTTCAGAGGACAGTAAATCTTCTGTCTCTTCCACGGGTGCCTGAAGTGCCTCCATCTCAATGTCAACACCATTCACCATCACGTTCTTCCTCCCTGATTTGACATCTGCTTGGGCTGGATGTTGCTTTTCTATCAGTTTATATTTGCAATCAATAACAAGCAACATTGCTTTGACACTGAAAGAACCAATAAATAAATGAATTAACAAACAAATAAATTTTAAGATTAAATGAGATTTTCATTCAGTCATTAATATACAAAATAAAAATTCACACCTAATGGAAATTGGATGGCTATTCAGGTAAAATGTTTAAAGTTGAAGGTTATCATTTAAAGTTGTTAAAATATAGTTGCTAAAATTTTATTTATTTATTTATTTATCTATTATTTTGTTGTTGTTGTTGTTGTTAAAATGAGAAACAGCAAATGAATAAAATTTCTTTAAAACCTTTTGGGTCTTATCAAAGTTAAAAGGTCTACAGTCGATCAGTAAGAAATTATTAATTTATTTATTGGTTAATAACAAATTTTTTCAGTACAAGAGGATGATATATGGTATATATGTTCTCTGGAGCAACATATCATGAAACAACTACATAAAGTGCTTTTTGTTAATGGACCTGCTTTCAGTTATACAGTCATTAACAAAAAAATTGAAATCGTAAATTTATAATAATACTATGAAAACATTTCTATTGAAAAATAACATTAATCTACTGACTTTATCTTCCTTGAAAAAATCAAGCCATATGCAAATAAGCTGGAAGGTACATAGTAAATTGCACCAGCACTTTACTTTTTTCCTGACATAAAATAGCCAGTATATCGTTCATAATTAATGGAGTTAAGAGTTTTATCCATTTCTAATTGACTCAAATATTAGCCAAGGTAATCATCATCATTGCCATAAAACTTTTAGAACCAAATAGAGAGCAAATGCACTAAATAAAATTCTTAAATGTGCATTGGAGACAGTCTGTAAATAAATTTGCTTTATTACAGCTGTATTTAGTTCCATTATTTCAGCTGCTTCAATTTGTTTATCTGCGAGAGTGTGGGACGTAAAGGGAACTTCATTACCCACACTACTCCGATTCTTCTAACATCTTATTACTGAAAGCACTGAAATCATCAACATTATGTTTAATGAAATAGAACACGAGACAATCCTAGTTTTACCACCATCATAAATTGTGTTTCTTCATATACAAAGAAACAGAAAAGAATTGTGCATTACCTTCCCAAAAATGCTGGTAGGAAAAAAGGCAAACATTTCTACAGAGGAAGAAAATATCTAACAGTCAGCAGCTTGGCGTAAATACTATGGGATGGTTCATTATTCACTTAGTGTTGTTATTATGATTACACGGTTAAGTAGACTTGATTCCACATAAATGCATGTACAAATTTGCAAAGGTAATTACTGCTATGACTATGCTGGTAGATATCAGTTATCAAAACACATGCTTTAAGTCCAAACCATTACATATATTAATGCATAATTGGAACAATTCTGATAAAACTTTGAAAACTGTAACTTTTTAAAACTTTTTTTCTTATGCAGACTGTGGCATTAGCAACTGGTCCTGTACCTGTGGCCATTAAAATTTGGTTTAGACCAGTTGATTTTTCAGAATGTGTGAATGTTCTAGTAGTGGGCCGACATGACCATTAGATTTTTTCTGTAAGTTTTCAAAGGAGCTTTTATTTTGATTTATGTTTTTTTTTCTGTAATGTAACAATTACATGATGATTCTGAAATAAAAAAACATTTGGCAAAATCAAGTTCTTGTTATTACTAATATTAATGCAACAGGAGAAAGTGTCCAGTCTTATTGCATATATTTTATTTGGACATGTGAATCCCGATTTGGACCAGTAAGAGTGGTGGTCCAAATGACCAGAAAACTGAAAAGCATATGAAACAGACAGCTTATGGGTTTTATTATGCACCAATTTGAATGTAAGAAATGTTCATTATCAATGAACTCAGAGCCAGACATGGACTAATATGCAGGGAAGCAATTCAAAATTATATATAAATCAATCATTTGTCACTGTGTAAAAATTACAGAGTTCCAATTTCTAGTAACCAAATGTTATTTACAGTCACCTGACTGGCTAGAAGTACTATTAATCCATGAAAATTTTATTTTGTTCTGCTTTAATTTTTATTAATAGATACAGTATATACCTTTTTAAAAATTGAGAGCTCACCTTACAAGTCCTACAGCTGCCATTATGACCGTTCCTTCAATTATCCCTGCCTACAAAGTAAAATATGAGCACTTTTTTTATTTTTTGTTTCTTCGCCAAGTTCTAAAAAAAATACTTAAATACTTTTTAGATAATTTCTGTCAAAATCTGAATCATTAACTTTTTTCTTTGGAGAGTTTTATGGATAAGATAAAAGTTCTAAATTTTGATCAGTTTAAGGTTCTTTCACATTTTGTCTCACTCTCTATGTCTGAATATATAAAGTGCATGACAGACTTATGCATAGGGGAAAAAGTTAGTGAAAATAATACATACTAAAAATTAAGCCGACATATCTTTTACTAGATTTTAGCGTGCACGAGCAAAATTCTCCAACTTTTTAGGTGATACCGCTAGCCTTTTAAAGAGTATTAAATGTAAAGCATCATAACGTCCATTAACTTAAAAAGTTAAGTTACTACATACTCTTCGTCGCTCCGATGTTGACTCTTAAATAATAAATACACTGTACCTCTTTGAATGCGAAAGGTAGACCAAGAACTCCGGCTCCAATAAATGAAATAAAGATATTTGCAAATATCTTTACTGGATTTTTTGATCCACTCCCGCCTCCAGTACTGACTCCCATTTTTCTCAGATGTAGAGGGAACTAACAGTTTCCTACTTCGTCAACTTTTTTCTTCTGACTTTCCTTCGAGGTTTTACACGTCGCAAGAAATCCCAACGAACCGGAAGTCTTGAAAGTTGATAACTTATTCTAAGCCCTAAGCAGTATTTTGGGATTATCTTTCTATCATAATCGATAACCCATTAAATGCTCATTTTTCGTGAAATATGTGTAGAGATTAAGACCAAATAGACACATTACTTCAATGAAGAAAAATTTAGATCAAAACATTACATATTTACTATTGCTTTTTGCCAAAGGAATAGAAGCAACACCAAAAATAGGTCAAAACCCCGACTCGAGATAATGTTAGCGATGCGAGGACAGGTGATAAAGTTGAGCCATATATTAAGAGGTCCAGCCAGAGGGACGCCAGTTTTAAACGAAGCTACTCGCACCTGTCCACTCCAACAGTCGAACTTTAGAAACATGAGCTCTGGCAGCAAGCCCAAAGTGTTTGTCACTAATTATAATATTCCGAAAAAAGGGCTTGACCTACTAAAAAGTTGTGAGGTGGTGCAGTGGCAGAGCGAAGAGACTATTCAGAGAGAGGACCTGATCAAGAACGTGAAAGGAATTGATGCGCTGTTCTGCATTCTCACAGACAAGATTGATGGAACTTTACTTGACGCGTGTGGTATGTAGACATAATACTCCAAGTCGAAAAGGAGCATCTGACGTGCGTGCGTTTTGATAAAACATAAAAGTTAAATGTGCTTTCTAATTATAAAAATATTCAATATTCATCAGCATGCACTGTAATAAGCTGTGGTCAAAATTTCAAAGCTACATGGAGGTGTCCTTATAATCCCCCTTATATCCTTAGAGTCTAGCCTCTTAGCCAAGGGGTACATCTACTGTACATGTAGATCTATATTAAAGACTATAAGTACTGTAATATACTGGTAGGCCTACACTGTATTTAATATTCCAGGTCCACAGTTGAAGGCAGTGGGCACCATGTCAGTTGGCTATGACCACATAGACATGAAGGCCTGTAAGGAGAGGGGGATCCCTGTGGGGTTCACACCAGATGTCCTCACAGATGCCACGGCTGAACTGACTGTTGCACTTCTGCTGGCAACTTCTAGACGGCTTATGGAAGGTACATGATTATCAGGGACCGACTTCTGGGTCTTCCGGAAGACGGTCAGATTTTAAAGTTTACATTGACGGGTATCTATTTTTTTCTGTTGGAAGACCATCAAAAATAGAGGATGGATCAACAAAGATAATTTGGAAGACAGTCAGAAAATATCCGCTCCTGATTATGCAGCAATTACTGCGTGATAGAGTTAAGTTTTTGGATGTAAGAATCACTGTGGAAGTGATTTACTCATATATTTTTATAGAAACAATATGTCAGTACTCTTAACATGTTTTTTAATGTTCTAAATGCCAGTATATAATCAGAATGGAACTTTCTGAGATAATATACTATTTCAAAAAGATATACTGTTCTACACCATAAAAATAACTCCCACCATCTTCAATATCCTAGGTGCTGGTGCAGTGAGATCAGGTGAGTGGGGCATGTGGAACCCACAGTGGATGTGTGGGCAGGGCCTTCACCATAGTACCGTGGGGATATTTGGCCTGGGACGCATAGGCCTGGCTGTGGCCAAGAGACTCCGCCCCTTTGGAATCTCACAACTGCTTTACTCAGGCAGGAAGGAGAACCCAGCAGCCAAGGAGGTGGATGCTGAATTTGTTTCCTTTGATACTTTATTAAGTGAATCTGACTTTGTTATTGCTGGTTGTGCTTTGAACAGTGAAACCAAGGAGATTTTCAATGAGGATACTTTTAAGAAAATGAAACCAACTGCCATATTTGTGAATTCAAGCAGAGGTGGGGTGGTGGACCAAAAAGCCCTGTATGAAGCCCTGAAAAGCGGTCAGATTAAGGCCGCAGGATTGGACGTGACCACCCCAGAACCACTGCCCACTGATAGTCCACTGCTGGATTTGAAGAACTGTGTCGTTTTGCCCCATATTGGAAGTGCCACAGTAGAGGCTAGGAATGCCATGGCGGAGCTGACAGCTAGGAATATAATGGCTGCACTGAATGGAGAGCAAATGCCCTGCCAGATTGAGTAGAGAGACACTGGAAATGATTTAACTTTTAAAAATGATTTTCATTTCAGTATAATTTATTTAATATTAATTGATTTATTATTATTATTAATGATGCTTTATTTAAAATTAAAGTTTTACATTTATAGTGTAAAAACAATTAGATATCAAAAGATGTCACAATTATACAAAAATAAAATGGTTATACATAAATTAAGCTTTATACTTAATTAAAATAAAAATACTTTTAAGTATTTTAAGTACTTTAAACTTATTACTTATTCACCATAATTGTAAAAGGTATTATTATTATTATTATTATTATTATTATTATTATTATTATTGTGATGATGTTAAGAATTTAAAGCATAAGTTAATATTGTTGAAGTATATATACACACACACACATTAAGTAATACAGTTAATTAAATACTTAAACTTTAAAGTATATATTTTAAAAGTTATTATTATTATTATTAATTAACACAATTGATTAATGGCTATTTTATCAGAAATCCAATCATCACTTGATATTATATGAGATTGAAATGGGTTTGGGTATTTAAGTGTAATTGTCACGGGGTAACATAACATTTAAAATAATAATTTTGGAAAACCCCTCTTCGGTACTGTACTTTCTGACCCCATGCACTGTATTGTGCACCGCATGATAGTCTTTGGATTTAACGTGTAAAGTCATGTTTTATCTGTGAAGCGTGACAATTTGTAAGGGAAATTTGGACATCGATACCTAAGCAAAAACAATGACCTGCCTCCTGCATCACATTATACATAATAAGGTAAAGATATTAGCTGCATGTCGTAAATGATCTGTATAACCAATCTCATGTAATCCAGCATTTAGGTTTGATGATTTCACGTATTGTCCATGCAATCAGCATTGTTCAATAAGTAAAGTAATTCTGACCATATATGGTAAAATGCACACGGTACTGATGTATCTGCACACGGTACACTATTTATTATAATATATCTGAAATTTATTGAAAAGTTAGTCAATTTCCGAAAAGCTGAAGTGCTGAAGCAGAGGATCAACAACTAGTAAGAGCAGTGGCTTTAAGGGTTGAAGTTAGCACATAGAAGTCTTGTAAACTGCATTCGGAAATAAAACAAAGTATATTCCACGAATTGACTCCTTTTATCAATAGTTACGAAGCCAATAACCTCCGTAACATAATCATGAAATAAGATCATTTGCAGTACATGAAATAAAATCTGGCTATGGCATCTGTTGACCTCAACAGTAATAATAATAGAATTCTTTTTTAGTCAAGCCCAGCTAACCCGTGTTTGACATTATTTGTATTTGTATGTCATATTATAAGGACATGAAATTGCTTTAATTTAGGACAAAGACCTTACAACTTTTATCTTTTTAAGACTTGCCCAAAGAAGCCAAAATACGCACTAAACATTTATAATGAGTATAAATTCTCTAAAGTGTTGTTAAAGTTTTACACAGCAACTTAACAATTGCTATTGTTGAGACGCGAGGGTTGATAGACCACGAGTTACACAGCCACCACAATTGCGGCTAACGTGCTGCCGTGGAGATTGTAAAATATTATTCAATTATTTGTTTGAAAATTTTGAAGAATGTTGTGCCTGTGACAGTAAAGGTTAAAAAACTAAAGCATGAAATTTCCAGATAAAATTTATTTCTTATCCAAAAAATCCGAAATATAACAATGGAAGACAAACCTGCAGGTAAGATGATTGAAGGCCGCTTCTATGGTTGTCGGTAAGGTTCTTTTTCTAACGCGCTATGATAATCTCGCCTTCTTCTTAATGAATTTGTTCCGCTGATAATGCTTATTCAATGATGAAAAGAAAATAGAATGAGACGAAATTCCCCCGTCGTTCACCTAATATTCGTCGAACTTAGCATTTTTATTTCATATTTGAGAGTTAAAACTTTCTTGTTACAATGAATTTTCTGTTTGCGCAGCGCGAGAAAGATGGGCAAAATATTCAACTCTATGAATGTGATACTTGCTACGGAAATTGAGTTTGACGCCGTGTAATGATAAGCAAAACTGTACGTGTATATTGGTTAAGACTTGTGTTGATTCCGTCGTAATTCATCATCAGAGTAATGCGTTAGGTGCATAAAATTGAAAAAGGCATGCGCTTACATGACGCTGCTTATATCTACGTCTTTTTGGCCCAACTTAATGTGTCCTATTTATTTCTATCGACAGGTTATATTCTGGCGTAAAGTAATGACTTGGAATATTAGTAACACTAATCAAGATTAAGAAAATTACAAAGACAGGTAATAAATGAGAAAGATAAATGAAGTGAATAAATGAATGAATAGGTATATGGATGAATGAATCAATAAATTGATATTAAACAGATAAATTGATAAGCAGATATTTATAAAACTGATGCACTTGAAACTGGTTCCTCTAGAGAAAATGCTTCTGTCTGATATATAGAATGATAAACTGCAACAAAGAAATTAAATGGACAGAAGAAACTGTGCAACATTTTTCGCATTATATTTTTGCATTAGTTAAAAATGAAAACAAGCTTGATAACAAGCTTGGTAAAAATAGATTTAATATCAAAGATACCAATCATAGCTGACATTATATTTTACGTTTTGGTGAAACTTGGACCCATCATACAGTATAAGGGTGAAACAAGCTACTAGTAAGACGTGAACGATCGAACGAACTTGGGATGTTTGAAGGGCATTAAAAAGAACTCCCATAAGAATAAGAGGAATCCTGACCCATATCAGCCGATCTTATCTAACATGAAAAGTAATAAATTTCCCAGTAAGTGACATAAATGGAGCAAAACATTATCAGCAAGTCTAATACACCTAGTAAGCTATCAAATGGTCGCTAGTTTACAGTGAAGTGTTTTTCTATTATGAACTCTGAATGTAGTGGGCAATCCATGCGTATCAGTAACCACTATATCCGCATTAATGACAATAACATTTTGTGTACAACTTTTGCATGATTGATTACAATAAATAGGTGCTTGGCTCTTGAATTTGTATAGGTAGGCTCGTTATGTAAATATTGCTTGTTGATATAATAATATTGAGTTGTTTAATGATAAATAAATAGCCAAACATATTGGATAGGGAGCGACACAGTATCGGACTGGTGCAGAGGGAGACGAAAGTTCGTGTCCCTGTGAGCTTGAACTGCGTGGATCGTTTTGTTTTAATTTATACTACCGATAGTGTCACTCACTCTCATAAATATATTTGCGAGCATTGGCCCCCTGTCTAGTTTTAATATACTGACTATATTTGAATAAGAACTCTTTAAGATTAAATTGAATGAGTTTATGGAATTTCTAAAGACGCTGTGCTGCACGCGCACCTAGCCCCTCTCTAAAGGTCTCACCTCCAATTGTTGTCGCAAGTTACACAGATGGTAACCTAGCATGTCAGTCTATAGGGTTTAATCGGAATTCAGAAATCTTAGCGTGCCGCCGATATCATTGACGTCGGAAATGACACTCGGAGTCTGATTCCGTTTTGATTTCGATGCAGAGAAGGACACGGATCAATGGGATGAATATGAAGAGGGCATTAATGTGAATTCAATCCGGTAGACTGTATTAAATGCTGTTTTGATACCAGTAGCAACAACCTTTTTAGATTGAACGTTCTATTAAGCATTGAAGAGTTTAAAGTTTGGATTGGATTGAACAGGGTCTGTCTCTTTTGTGCGATCTAATGAATTAAACGTGTCTCTGATGAGAGTTTCTATGACTCGAACTACTCGACGCATGTGATTTGCCTCTGATTCCAATATAACCACCCAGCGACGGACTGTTATTTACCTAATTTAACGCGTTCTGGAGAGGAATAATTATAATTTTATTCTCGAGTGATCAGATTTGTCTCAAATATGACCACACCAAGTCTGTCCCTCGAGACGCTGAGATATATGCTGTGTATGGCTGTCGATACTTTCTGATGCGAGGTGACTGTCCTTGCCATTTAATGCCCTGAAAAGAGCAGAATCGGGGTATTTTTCAAAATGAACGCCTGGAGAGGGGTACAAGCCAGAAAGGCACCTGCTTCGACCACCTTGGTAACTCCAAACCCATCACCGCCGTCACCAACGCCGCCTGCGTCTCCTGTACCCGACACGCCCAGAGACGGAGCTGATTTGAAGGCGCCATCACGTCGAAAAAGTCTTAGCAAGTTGACCAAACTGGACATCCAGGCCCTGGCTAAGGCTAACGACGATCACTCAAAGGATTTTTCACCGTGTGGTAAAGTTGTGACATCCATATTGGATAACTACGGAAAACCTTTACAAAAACCAAAGTTGCCGAGATGCCATACGGCGCCGGCAAGGGTGGTACGAAGTACGGCATTGGCGTATGGGCGTTTAGTTGTTGGAGGCAAACGGCAACAACATTCTGACAATAATGAACCCCAAGACGTTGAAACTGGCACCAACAAAAGGGCGGTGTCTGCCAAAGGGAGATTCGTGTCTAAGAGAGAAGCATTACTGGAAATGTTATCAGACAGAAATGTCGAGTTTAAGAGGAGACCGAAGACTCCCCAGCATGCCCAGGATTTGTTCAAGTCACGGCGGCTCGCAGCCAAGAACAATGCTAGTTGGGACTGGGTGCTATCCGAAGCCTATGAACATCTACAGTCTAGATTCGAGGAACCTGGACAGGTAATTTTATGAAGATTTATCAATGTGGCATTTAGCCAGTATTGTCAATATAGGAGAAAATGTTTTCTTATTTAAAGGCGAGAACCTTAAAAGGGGTCGTTATGAAAGATTACAAAGTAGGATGAAAATAATTGTTACAATTTCAGTACTAAAATCCTTCAAACTTTCATTTACTCTTTTGATTATTATTTATTTATTGTTCTATTGAAAAACATGTAACACACAAAGCTGTTTATGTATATGACCCAGCACAATTTTTTCGTTTATTTTAAGACTCATATTTTGTGTTTTGCTCAGCTGATCATGTTGTCATGTAATATTATATAGTCCCATTGAAGAAGTCTTCAACAGGACATGTTAAAGTCAATTCGTAGCGGGTGCACTATACTAACATTCATACATTTATTTCAACAAACCTTTAGGTGGTACTCCATATTCGCGTTGATCAAGTTTTCTCGAACAATGCATCGCGCGTGCTTAAATTACTAAATGCGAAAAAACATGCCTATTGATATTGAGTACAA